GTTTTATGTGAAGAAAAGTTGAAAACATTCTGAGGGATGCAAATGAAGAGATGAAAAAGCATACCATGTCCTTAGATAGGAATAGTCAACATCAAAAATACTTCAACTCTCCCAAATTCATCTATAAATGTAGTATGATCCAGATAAAAATACCAATAACATTATATTGGAACATGGTGGGGGGGGTGTATGGGGAGGGTGACCAACCTGATTCCAAACTTTAGGTAGAAAATAAATAACCAAGAATAACCAGTAAAATTCCAAAAACAAAGGGTAAGGAGGGGCAACTAGCCCAGTTATTAAAACTTGTTATTAATGGAGAAGGAGATGGTTAAAAAGACACAACAATGGAAAAGAATAAAAAAATCAAGAAATATACCCGATCACACATGGAAATTCAGGATGTAATAAAGATGCCATCTCACCTTTCTTGTATAAGGGGAAACAGATTATTTAATATGTGATATTAGAAGAACCAGGTTGTCATCTGAAAATGAAGAAAATTAAATCTCTTATCTCTTTATACTTTACTTCAGAATCATTCCAAATAGATAAAAGATTTAAAAGCCAAACAAAACAAAAAGACAAAAGGACTTGAGGAAGCCAAGAAAGAAATATGCCATAACCTCATAGTGGGAGAGACCTTTATACCTGTGTTGCACAACCCAGAGTCAGAGAAGAAAAAGTGATAAACTACACACAAAAAAATGTTTTAACCTACATGGTAAAACCAACCCCAAGTAAAGTCAAATGACAGATTGACACACTGGAGAATTATTTGTAATAAGTATCACACATAAGAGATCATTTTTCTAATATATAAAGAGCTCATACAGCTCTATAAAAAAATCAATAACCCAATATAAAAAACAGCCAAGGGATATGAACAAGTTCTCAGAAAAGAAAAATCTAAATGGATTTGAAACATAATAAAAGATGTTCAGCATATGAAAAGATGATCAACCTCACACATATAAGAGGAATGCAAATTAAAACTGCAGTGACAAAATTGATAAATTGAACCTCATCATAATTCAAAACTTTTGCACTTCAAAAGAGATTTTCAGAAACTGTAAAACAAAAACAGGGTGGGAGAAGATATTTAAAAACATGTACCTGATAAAGGACTTGTATCCAGATGTAAAAATCCTTATATCTCAATAATGAGAAGACAATCTAATAAAAAAAATGGTCAGAAGACTTGAATAGACAACTCACAAAGAAAGATATATGAATAGCTAATAAATACATGAAAAGATGCTCAAAATCATTTGTCATTGGGGAAATGAAAATTCAAACCACAAAGAGATACCATTTCATACCCACTAGGATGGCTGTTATCAAAACGACAGTTGATAATCGATGTTGAGGGTGTAGAAAAAAGGGAACCCTCATACATTGCTGTTGGAATGCCAAATGGTGTGGCCATTTTGGAAAAACAGCCTGTCAGCTTCTTAAAAGTTAAATTTACCAAGTGACCCAGCAAGTCCACACTTTGGACTCTATCCAGGAGATATGAAAACATATGTCCACACACACACACACACACACACACACACACACACACACACACAAATGTGTACATGAATATTTATAGCAGCATTACTCATAATAGCCAAAACTTTGAAACAACCTAAATGTCCATCACCTGGTGAATGGAGGGACGGAATGTGGTGAATCCATGCAATGGAATACTATTCAGCAATAAATCAAGGAAGAAACGACTGACCCTCGCTACAACATGGACGAATCTCAAAAACATCATGCTAGGAAAAGAAGCCAAACACAAGGGACTACACATAATTCCATTTATATGAAATGTCCAGAAAAGTAAATCTATAGAGGCAGAAAGTAGATTAGTGCTTGGCTGGAAAAGAGGGGAGGAGGGGGGAAGGGATTGACCGTGACTGGACACGGGAGGATCTGATCTGGAGGATGGAAGTGTTCTGAACCTGTCTTATGGTGATGGTTGCACAACTTGGTAAATTTACTAGGAAAAAATGAATTGTACACTTGGGATGTATGATATGTCAAATATGCCTTAATAAAATTAAATATATATATTTTTAAATGAAGCAGGTGGCAGGCCAGATTTGGCCTTCAGGCCCCATAGTTTACAAAAAAAAAAAACATGGCTGACTTATTAGGCAATACAGTGCACTTCCAACTTTTGGAGGTTTTGCTGTTGTTGAAGAGAGTAAGCAAAATGAATTCATATTGGCACCTAAAAAGGAGAAAAAAAGCAACTACAACAACGTAGCATTTTTTTCACCCACACTTTGTCAGCAAGCATGTGGGCAGACAAGCCGTCGCCTACCTACTGGCAGAAGTGTAAACTGGCACAGCCCAATGAAAGGTCATTTGACAGTATTGTAAATGGACATACACTTGATTCAGAATTCCTCCTGATAGGAATTTATCCAGCAGATGTGCCCACACACCTGCAAAATGATATTTGCATGCTTTCTTCACGGCAGCATTGTTGGTAAGAGCAAAAGATTGGAAATACGTACATTTCTACAGGTATGGGAATGATCAAATGAGCTACACTACATCTATTAAAAAGTGGACAAGGAAGCTCTTTCTGTACCGCTAAGAAAGATGGCCAAGATATATTAATAGAAGAAAAATGCAGACCAAGGAGCATGTACACATTTGTAGAAATCAACAAATGTGTGCTTGTAATACGTATTTGCGCGTATATGTGTGTACATATGTGTGCACTCTGGAAGATTTTACTATAGTTGAAAAGCATGAGCAAAATAAATTCAGCATTGGTTTAAAAATGAGCAACTGCAATCACATACCATTTTTCACGGGTGTGATTGGCAAACATAGCACAACGACGTCAGTGTGCGTTATGTATACGGATGTGTGGGGGCACATATGTTTGCATATTTGTATATCTATATAAAATGTCTGAAAACCTATCTAAGGTATTTTGGGGTTGGCTTTAGAAAGTGGATCTTGTTGGCTGGCTCACAGCAGGAGGAAGAAATGTTTCACCAAGTGCTCTTTCCTAATTTTTGAATTGCAGACCATGTATTATCTATTCAAAAATTAAATTAATTAAGTAAGGAGATAGAGGAAATAGACAATACGATTGGTAAGGCTTCAAAAGATGTGCTGACTTACGTGCTCCACAAATACAGATTTCATCCTTTTTTCAACGGCTCACATTTACATGTTGTTTAAACTCTTGACATTTCTGAAAGTTCCCAAACTTCCAAGAACCAAAAACTGTCCGTGCCCCATAAGTGCTCCAGAAAATAACACTCCTGGCAGCCACGATTTGGTCTATGAGTTGAGATGAGCCTGGTCCCCAGGGAAAACGTGGCTATATTGACAAGGGACTTTTAATCCTGTCCAAAGACGCCCTTTTTATTACCAGAAAATGTGCACAACACATACGTCACCTCTCACCTTCCCAACACCCGTCTTGGAGCCTCACCCCACCACAATCTTCCCTAGAGCCCGGGGGGCGGGGGCTTCTGGATAGTATAAAGTTGGACTCATGACTCTAGTTGTGTCTGGGCTTTTTAAAAGCCCCGGTGGTGCCAGAATAGCCTGCTTTGCTCATGATAAAGCTACTTCTTATACTGTCAAAGGTGTGAACTAAGCTCCTAAGAACAACGTAGGTGTCGGTATCAAAAATATAACACTAGAAAATAAACTTCAGCATTCTGTAAATCACAGAAAGACATAAACAAGTCGACGCGCTGTCGGGAGGATAATTTCCCGTAACATACGAGAGGTGAATGACGTTAGCCCCTTTGTAGATTGCATGCCGTGCCCTCCAGAGGTGACCACTGCACTGAAGTGAGGCTTTCCCACGCCCTTCCATTTCTGTGCACGTTGACTACACAGGTACATATCCGGAAACTGTAGAGTATTGTTTTTTACTTACCTGTATGCATTTCATCCAATAGGATGAATTTACACGTATCGTTTTGCATCTTGCCTCTTTTCTTCCACGTTATGAAATTCATCCTGGTGAGCACTGTTGGAATCCCAGCTCAGCTACTTAGTAGCTGTGTGTCCTCGACCAGGTTGCTGAACTCTTTGTGCCTCAGTTCCCTCGTCAGTAAAATGGGCCGGTAACAGCCCCACCCATGTGTAAACAAGCAGTAAACAAGTCCGTCTTTGTGACGTTCTTAGAACCATGCCTGGCGTATCACCAGTGCTGTGGATGGAAGCATTGACTTCATTTCAGAGCTGAGGAAACTGAGTCGCAGAGCAGCTATGCTGCCTGTTTCAGTCCCACGGCCAGTGATGAGCAGACAGACCCTAAGAGTCAAACAGGATATGTGACCCGTCATCCTTACCCTCCCGCCTCCCGGAATTCATAGCTCTCTGTCATAGCAAGTGAGAGCTCAAAACAGCCCTGTTGTATTGAACTATATGGTTTTTTACAAACCTTTACTAATTCTTCAATGATGCTAGTCCTATGTGAACCAGGTACTTTGAACAAATATTTTAAATTTTAGAGGAATAAGTGGGGTTTGATCACTACAGGAAATATAAATTAAATTACCGTTGAACGAAACCAACTCAGATAAGCAATCCATGATCATTTATGGAAAAGTGACATTATTACAAGAACAGCTGTCACAATCACAGTTCAGAGGTCCTCAGCTCGGATTTGGGGAAGAGGTGTGGGCAGGCCTGGCGCTTGCGGTGATGGCCCAGGTATCGAGGAAGCCTCGAGCTCCCCTAGTAATCATGGAAGTCCAGCTTATTGGAGCAGCCCTGCCTTAGGGAGGAAACGGGCTCCGAAATGCCCACCCTGTCTCTTCATCAGCCCTCAGAGACCCAAATGCTGTCTCCCGTTGATGGATCTCCCCGAAGGCAGAGGGCAGGTGGAAGCCCTGGTGATGTCCCCAGGAAGGGGTCAGAGAAGGGAGACTGACCAGCACCAATACTTCCTTCCAGACAGGAAACGCAGTCCTTTTCTTGATAGGGCTCTGTAAAAACGCTATCATTGTTTTGTTTTTAACCAGGTTATTGATGATATTATTGCACACCAAGAAGATGAGGAAAAAAACAAAAGGAAGAAAAAGGAAAAGAAAGCCAAAAAAGGAAAAGAAAAAGGAAAAGAAAAAGAAACAAAGGAAAAAAATAAGGTAAGGAATTTGGAATTTTAGAAATTTGAGTTTTCTGCATTTTTGCTTTGAATCAGTGGGATAATCTCAAATCGGTTGAGATGGCAGTCATTCGTTTCCTAGGCTGCCTACCAACCATTTTTCAATTTTTTTTTATGTTGCTGGACAATAGGTTGCCATCTTTTCTATGATTTTTAAATGCCTATTTGGATAAGGTGTGGTTTCAACAATTCAGATATGTTACATGTTTATTCACATATGCGATAGCTTTGAATTTTCATTCCTCAAAATAGTCCCACTGATTTTTCCTCAAGGGTAGAGATAAGGAAAAATGCTTGGCAAACCAAATGACCGCTGCAAGTCAAATGATTGTTATCTTTTTTTAACCAAAGGAAGTTCATTCGAATTTATCACTTGACACTGACATATTGGATTTATTTTCATGGAATGTTTTGCTTCTCACTATCAAAGGAGAAGCTCAAACAGTGTCCCTCTGGCTTGTGCAGTGGGGTTGGAGATGGGGTTCGAGGTGGCAGTGGGGTGGGCGGGCAGGCGCTGGTATCTTAGGACCTTCGCCTTGGAGCGTGGAGAGGTGCGCTGGGCAGTTCCTCACTCAGCACAGTCCTCCTCTGGGAAGAGGAGCTCGGGTTGGAAGCTCGCATCTTCTAGAACGTGAACACTATTAGAGTAGCATTTTTGCAGACACTACTTCCCAGAGGGCCACACCCGGATGTGCATCAGCCCAGGAGACTGGGTCCTTAAAGGTGACGGTCCCTGGGTGGCGATCCAGAGGCAGAGACCCTGCCCTGAGCTCAGGTTGGAACGGACATGCTCCTCGTGTTCCAAGAGGTGGGTTCTGACGGACACACAGACTGGGGACTTCTCTGAGGGGAAGCCACTCGGTGGGGTGTGGCGGGCCGCCCCTGGGGACTGCGGTACCGCGTCACAGTGAGAGAAACGGGACCGGCTTGCAGTCACAGAGGACCAGTGATGGGAGCAAGGAGCCGGAAGCTGTGAGCGAGGGGGACACCGGGATGGTGAGCCTGAGAGGGCAATGCCCGAAGTCCATGTAAATGCAAGGGATAGGCGACGGCGAGAAAAGCCAGCATTTTGTTTAAAATTCCTTGGCATGGCTGCGGCCGACCATCGATCGGCAGACGAACGCCCCGTTTGCAGTACCCCTCTCCTGCGCTGTGACAAGCAGAAATCTTGCACCGGCCTCATTTGTCTTCGTCCCGCTCTTTACGCGCGGCCCACTGTCGTTCACTGCAGGAGCCAAAGAAGAGACCCCCTTACGGCTCATTTTGGGCACAACCCGCTCCTTTCTAGAGGGTGCGGAAGTGGGCCCCTCGGACGCCCCCTTCAGGACTGACGCACTCAGTCCCCAACCACCCAGAATTCCTTCTGTCCTCTCACGGTTAAGTTCCACCCAGAAATTGTTCTGCTCCATGAGAGGTTTACAGCCCTCACCCCCAGCCCCTGGGCGGCCGCATCCAAGGACCACCATGTTAGGATACAAAGGCCCAGCCCCTCACCTCCGAAAGGTTCTCCCAGCTCCTGGGCTCCCTGTGGGATCAGCTGAGGGCTCCCTTGCAATCACATCGGGGTGGGCTTCTCCCTCTGCCCAGTGCTGCTCCTGTGCTCCCCTCCTATGGCCGGTGTTCCCAATAACCCACATGCATGGCCTTTATCTGAGTGTCTCTAGGGAGCCCAACTCGTGAGACCCCCTGTTGCCCTACAAATCTGTCTGTACCCCAAAAGTTATAATTGTCCCCTACCCCCCAAAGAAACAAAAAGGCAGCTCATTTGATACAATTAATTTTATAATCCTTTCACTTGGCAAGATAATTTTAAAGCAGTGCCAAAGAATAAAGACAGTTGAAAGAATTTCAGTTTTGTTCTAAGCATCTCTTCCCCTAAATGTGCATGATGGAGTTTGACACTTGTAAATTAAAATTTCACTGTCAGTGAAACTTGTTTTCTAAAAATCTGAAATTATCAACCATATAACCTGGTCTTTGTTGAGTGAAGAAGGCATTTTGTTAACTAGCGATTAAAGAGTCACTTAATGATGAACAGTTTTGGACAGAAAGCAAAGTTTGAATTCATCAGCATTTTTGAAGGAGGTGCAAATGAAGGGGAAATTCTGCAGAATTACTTAGAAATTAGTTTATTCACGAAAACTACAGGTCTACAAAGTGACAGTGTGATTATTAAAACAATAAATGGTAAGCTAATAAAAATTGATGTATTTAATTATGTGGGTGCGCTTCTTAGAGATCAGATCATGTTTCCATTGACTTTTAAAAGTCATATTCTAGAATCAATCCTGAAGTATCCGAAAACAACCCTGAGACCAGCTATTCAAATCCTTGGGTGAGAATTAGTTTTTGACCTAATTCTGTAGAAAAAGACATCTGTTATTCTTCCTGGTTAAAGGGTAAGGCAGGGGAGAGAGAAAACTCGCTTTAATTTGCATAGATACTGACTCACCCCAAGCCGTTTCACAGTGGCAGAGCTGTGTCATGATTCTTTGCATATCCTTATAACACTTAGTCATTCATCAGTTGTCAGCCCAATACACATATATACTCAAAAAACTTAAGAAAGACCTCATATTTAAGGGAAAAAAACTGATAGGATTATCTGAATATTTTCACTAGCCTCTATAAATAGAAAGTAGACTCTTCAAACTATCACACAGGTATAAGATCAAAACCTTTGTAAGTTCTTGAGATGTTACAAATGAGCATAACTAGCCAGGCCAGGGCAATTGAGAGGGACTTGGAGGGTGAGTGGGTCGGAGACAGGGGACAAGGGATTTCAGGCAGGGTTCCAGGCAACCTCCAAACGGAAGAACCAAAGGACAACTTCAGAACACGATGACATGAGGCCAGGGACGTGGTACGGTGTGAGGGGTCTGCAAAGGTTGGAGCAGGTGATGGATGGAGCTGTGGGGACTAGGCAGAGCCTTCTGCCTTCAGAGAGAAGAGAGTCTTCTCTGGGGAGTGACTTGAGCACATCTGAGTCCAGTGTAGTCTAAGATCTGTGCTGTATGGATGGGTTTGGGGATGGACTGTGGGTGAGGAAGCGACCAAGGCAGGGAGGCCAGTGAGATCCAGCAGAGATCAGCAGTGAAATGGGAAGCAAGTTCAGGGCAACCCAAGGACAAGTGTGGGCTAGGGTCTGAGCCTCCCCACAGTTTGCATCCAACCTCATGGGAGAATGCATCTAAAATTAAACATTCACAAGGTTGAGAGAGAAGCGAGTGAGTTCTTTACCTTGTTTTTTCCTACAAAAGTAAAGGAGCAAAAGGGTACGTCCCGCTGGCGGTAGAAAGAGCTGGGATCCTGGTCAACAGTACAGTAACCCATGGCCTCCCTGCCTCCTGCCCCAGCTCTTAAAGACCCACAGTCACCCTGTCACGACTGCTTCTCCTTCCACCCCAGCCCCTTCCTGGGGCCACCTCCACCTGTATAAAAGTGTCCCAGAGTAACCTCCTCTCCTCCTGACCCCAGGGCAGTGGGGAGAGCTCCCCTTGGGCACTCCACCAATGAAGAGTCTCAGGATTAATGATTACCCCTGTGGTGTTTTGAGCTGTTTGAACCTGCAGACAATGGGAAGGAAACTTTGGGTGTGAGCTTGTGTGTTTCAATGTCCCAGCTTGGATTTTTATCGTGGGGATAGAAGCACGAGAAAAAATGAGGGCTGTAAAGGTGGATCCCTGTAATTGTGCACAAGTTCTTGTTTTCAAGTAAAATTTTAAAGTAAAATAACTGTGACTAGTCATCTTGCACTCATTTGATCAGGGAACTTTACAAACAATTTAACAATTAAAATATGAAAGATTTCAATTTCTAATCTGGACTGATCTGGAGACCCGCGACCCTGAGATGCTGATGGACAAAAGGAAACCGATCAGTCCAGGAATTTTAATCTTCATTTGGGGGCTAGTGGAAGGGAAAACGTGAAAGCACCAGAAACACCTTCCAAGATGAGCGTCCAAAACTCAGGTTTTCACTCATCGGTGAGAAAGTGAACTTCTATCTAAACTTTGACCCTTATATAGAAACTAACTCAAAATGGATCATGGATTTAAATGGAAAACCATTTAAACCTATAGAGAAAAATACAATGGGAAGAAATCTTCAGGGCCTAGGGCTAGGCAAAGAGTTCTTAGAATTGACCCCAAAACCGCAATCCACAAAAGGAAATTTTGATAAATTGGACTTCATCAAAATAAAAAACTTTTGCTCTGTAAACACCCTGTGAAAAGGATGAAAAAATACTATAGACTGGGACAAAATATTTGCAAACTCTCTATCCGACAAAGGCCTTGCATCTAGAATATATAAAGGACTCTCAAAATTCAACAGTAAAATAAGAAAATTAGTCTTTCTCTTGGATCTTGGTTTTAAATCCATCCTCCAAAGTATTAAAGGGTGCAGATGAAGAGATTCTCTGCTAAGCGTACTTTAATAGATGTCAGTGCCAGTGCCGGAAGGACATTTTCTGCAAACCAATAGCAACGCCTGCCAATGTGCTTTCAATATCAACGTAATTTCATTGGCCTCACAGTTGGCTGTGTGGACCTCACATTAGCTTTAGAAACAAAAGTACAGGAAAGGAGCACTGTGCAATCCATTCTCACAACTTTTTTCTTTGTTATTTTTCAAGCCGTGTATGAAACCATGTGTGGAACTATTTTAACTGGTTTTGACCTGTTGTGATCACGTGAATACGTAGTGCAGAAGTGTCTCTACACGTCCCCCAGCCGTCAAATGACGTGACTTAGTGTTCAGTTCTTCTGGAAAGACCCTGGTACCTGCATAGACAGTGTGATTCACTTTAAAAGCTTTAGTTTGTCTGCCACATTGTCACCCAGCCATCTTTGTGACCACAGCACCTCTTCTCCAACCCCTTGGCCCAAGGAGTTGCTTCAGACTAAGCCATTGAGCCAGCCACATTCTTACCTTATTTTAGGGCATTTCAAAACA